GCTGAAACGAAATGTCATCGCTATTTAAAAAATCATCAAACAGACAACGTTACAATTGAATGTTCTGATTTTGAACGTCGTTCAATTTCTGCAAAGAACATCACAAAAATTGTTGTACATCTGTTGATACAACTTAATAAGAAATGTAATAAATCCGAAACGATCGAATATAATCTGCCAAAAACGGAATTTCCAGGTAATTGGTTTTAATGCTAAATAAGAACCCTACAAAAGCTCACTAACAACTCTAGCAAAATTCATATTGGTGATCAGGATCATCGATAACATATAAAAACCATATTTCTCAAATGAAAAATGAAGTAATACTTGAGGCAGTTTCATCGTAAATAAATGACGATGACTTTATAACTTCCTTCGCTATTCAGCTGACTAATCCCCAAGGGATATTCATTGATCAGTATGAAGAACTAGTCACATATTACAAGGACAGAAAGATGAATGCAATTGTCTAAGAGAGTGAGACATATTAATTGAGCTAAAATCTTTACCATACACAGTAGACACAAAGACTGGTGTAAAATAAAAAAATTGTACATCCCGATATTGCTCTCCTCAGGAATTATAGACTGTGACACAAGTGAGTTTGACGTTACAAGACAATGTTAAAAAGTGTATCTGAACAGATCTATACAGATGTATACGAACAGGCTACTCCTCTGCACAGGACACTTCCTAGGATAGCTCTGCACTTCCTATATACTAAATAATGACTTTCCGTACTACCAATTGCTTGTACTAATATGATATAACAATCATTACCATATATCTACATATGAAAAATCGTTTCGAAAAAGGTAAAATCGACATCTTCTTGTGTTACTCATTCAGATAATCGCATTCGACACAATCGCGTTACGGTCAATGACACCGTTTATCATGCAGTTTCTTCCGTTTTACAAATATCAACTTGAGAATCTACTCTCATCGACAAACACGCCATCTTATCAGCCTTTATACCTCCCCATGAACAAGTCTTGTAAATAACTCACCAGCTAGAATGAGAGTCACAATTTCTCACTAGCGACTTCTGTTATCCGTTTTCTATATGCAGAAAACCTATTCTTAGCATCTATTTCGGAATGTAGCTGTCAATATGCTCGCGTGTTATCAACTCACCGTCAACCCATATCTTCACTTACTAGACGAACTGAATGTGGCACTGTCTATAGTTTCATATAAAATATAACAAAACCAAACAGACGTACTGATTTTGCTCTCTTTTGCTAGGCTCCACCATCACTGCCACAACAATCCAACATATTTCATTAATCAAATGGAGTCGAGCCGGTAACATGTCATTAAGCCGATTAACGCACACCGCAACCTTATTATCATCAGGAAAGGTATTAGTAACAGGTGGTCTTGAATCGATTTCCCGGGTTGTGTCTAGCTGTGAACTCTACGATTCAACATCGAATAGGTGGAGTACAGCACGTAACATGTCATCACCCCGCGCTTCGCACACTGCTACTTTATTACCATCTGGAAAAGTATTAGTAACAGGTGGTTATGGGAAATTTAATCACTGTGTGTCCACTTGCGAACTCTACGATCCAACATCGAATAAGTGGTTTCCAGCAAGTAACATGTCATTGCCCCGAACAGCGCACACCGCTACATTATTATCAACTGAAAAAGTATTAGTAACAGGTGGCTATATTCCGGGTTTCCAGGGTGTGTCTAGCTGCGAACTCTACGATCCAACCTCGAATAAGTGGACTCCAGCCGGTAACATGTCCTTTAGCCGAAAATTCCACACTGCAACCTTATTATCGTCTGGAAAGGTATTAGTAACAGGTGGTTATGAGGTGGAGATCTGGCAGATGTCTAGTTGCGAACTCTATGATCCAACATCGAATAAGTGGAGTGGAGTCGGTGATATGTCATTATCCCGCGCTTCGCATAGTGCTACTTTATTACCATCTGGAAAAGTATTAGTAACAGGTGGTGATACGTCATCTCGTGCAATGACTAGCGACCTCTACGATCCAAGGTCGAATAAGTGGAGTATCGCCGGTAACATGTCATCAGCCCGAGTATCGCACACTGCTACTTTATTATCATCTGGAAAAGTATTAGTAGCTGGTGGCTATAACTGGAATTCTATAGGATCGGGCTTGTCTACCTGCGATGTCTACGATCCAACATCGACCAGGTGGAGTAGAGTCGGTAACATGTCATTAACCCGCTCTTCGCACACTGCTACTTTATTATCATCTGGAAAAGTATTAGTAACAGGTGGTAATTATAATGCTGATAGTTCTGATTCTATTGCTGAATTGTATAATGAGTGACATTATACTAACTTCTATACAGACAATAAAACCACCGTATGACGAAGTATTTGCGTCTCAACAGTTAGTTAGCATAACTTTTTCTGACAAATGCGACTTTAACCCTTTGGTTACGGGTGACCTATATATAGGCATTGAACTTTTGTAGGTATTGTCTTCAATATAATGTCATTTAGGCTTTATTAAAAGAACTACTGTATCTTTCTCTTATTTTAACAAACTTAT